TCTGACAAATAAATAAAAGCTTAAAAAAAATAAAATAAAGATTTTAAAAAATTTAAATAAATAAATAAAACAATTCAGCTGGTATGTGCCTTTCTCCCCCTACCCTCTGTCTAGATGTGAGTCTAGAGAAGGATCAGCCATCCCACAGTACAAGGCAACAGGCACACTTGAAGATGTCTAAACAGAAAGACAAAAGGAACCTGACTTCCTGATGTCATGAAGCTGCCGTATCAGCCCTAGGCTGCCTACATCTGGTTTTTGTTACTTGAGAAAAATAAAACTCCTAATTTGTTTGGATTGTTATTTTTGGATCTCTACTATTCACAGTAAATACAATTCCTAACTCCTAGGCCCATTATTGTTTATTCCCTACAGCACAACCAGAGAGACCTTTAAAAGTATGAGTCAGATCATCTTACTGGCTTCCCATCACACTTAAAATAAATTCAGGTTCCTTAACAGGTCAACTAGGCCTTCTTTGATATGGCCCTTCTATGTCTCCCAACTCATCTCCTACCAAATCCCCATACCACCCTTCCACCCACGACTTACACACTCAAGCTCCAGCCACACTGTTCCTTGAACAAGCCAAACTTGTTTCTATTCAGGGTCTTTGCATTCGCTGCTCCTTTGCCTGGAATCCTCTTTCCTCATACCTTTATTTGGCTTGCTACCTTACTTCTTCCAGGTAGCAACTCAAACATTGCCTTCTCTGAGAGACCTTCCTGATTACTGTATCTAAAACAGTCTTTTTCTGTCTCTTTTTAAATTGAATTCCTCTCCATTCCCCTGTAACTCTTCTGATCCTACCTTATTAATATATAGTAAGTATTTGTTTCCTAATTATTTACTATCTTCTGCACTAGAATGGAATCTCCCTGGGCAAAGACCTTCGGTGTCTTCTTCAACACCATATCCTCAATGCCTGGCACACAGTAGGGACACAAAAAATATCTGATGTATAAATCAATATACATAATGATCTCATTTATACTGAAAAAGACTAAAGCATATGTGTATGTGTGTGTGTAAGTATATAAAGGACCTAAGATATACACTAAACTGCCGATACTAGTTAACTATGGTGAAGAGAATGAGAAATAAGGAAAAGAGGAACTTTCACATTTTGCTCTACATATTCCTGCCTTGCTTTTCTTATTAAGAAAACAAAATTACCTATGATATATGGCAAGAAGAAAACTTTAAACATATTCAGAAATATAAATCCACAGAATCATACAATTTAGAAACTCATAGTAACCTAATAAGTGTAACACTACCCGCAGGTAGGAGGATCTATGATTACTAAGTAAATATCTTTTAAAAGAACTAGAATTAGAAGAATAAAATTCTTACTAACTTTTTATAGCCCTTACAAAAGTTTTTACTCTCTCTTAAACAAAATAAAATATACCATATAAAAAGTATATTACTAGCATGTGTTATGCATCAAAATAGTAATGGTGAGTTGTGTAGAATTTCCACTCACCAACCCTTGCTTCTAGAAACTTTTTTTTTAAGATTTTATTCATTTATTTGACAGAGAGGGAGATAGCACATGAACAAGGGGGAGGGGGCAGAGGAAGAGGGAGAAGCAGGCTCCCTGCTGAGCAGAGCATGGACGACATGGGGCTCGACCCCAGGACCCTGGGATCATGACCTGAGCCAAAGGCACCCAGGTGCCCCGCTTACAGAAACTTTTAAGGATTTTCCTTCCATAAATATTCATCCAGTAATATAGATATTTACTTTGTTTTGTTTTAGAAAATACATACTCTATGAGACACCTTTTCTCTATCAAGGTCTCCATCCAAATGTCTAGTGCCTTTTAATTTTTCTCTACAAGTTTATTGAGGCATATTTTACATGTTATATAATTCATCTACCTCAAATGTATAATTCAGTGACTTTTAGTAAATTTACCAAGTTGTGGAACACACCATAAATCAGGTTTAAAAATCTTCACCACTGCAATTAAATCGCTCATGCCCTTTTATTGTTAACCCCCATTCCCACCCCCTACTTCAACCAACCTTTAGTCTCCTGTCTATCTCCATTACATTTGCCTATTCTGGACATTTCCTATAAATGTAATCATACAATATGTGGTCCCTTGTATCTGATTCTTTTCACTTAGCATCTTTTTGAGGTTCACCCAAGTGGTAGCATGCACCAGTAATTCATTCTATTTTACTGCTGAATATTATTCCACTGTATAGATATGCCATATAGTGCCTTTTGATTTCCTGACTTGAATTTCCATTTTCCAGGTTGTACGATGGATGCCAGCAACTTGGGTACTTGGAGTTGGGGGGAGGGAGCTATATATGTCATTTATTTAACCCAAATAACATAGGTGAATGTTTTTCAAACCCAATCCAGTTTACATAGGGTAAGATTGTCCTAACTTCACTTAACATCATTCTGCCATTTAAAATGCTTTCAAGACCATTTTTCTGTCCCTCCCTCCTAAAAGGAGTAAAAGCACAGTTCCCAAGGTTTCTTTCTCTCTCCCAAAGCTTATAAAAACCTCTACTCTTACTATGCATTCTGTTTTACCTCCTTTTTATACCTCCAATTCCTTGTTTTCTCTTCATCTTGAAGCTGAAAGCTTTAAAATTTCCATATTCTCCAAGTTTGTAAAAAGGTATATCAGAATTAAATATCTGCAGATTCTGGAATTTTATTTAAGAGGAATCTGTGGTTCTTTTGATGTGGTCCCTATAAAGAATTTCTTTCTATGTAGAAAAAAGCTTTGTAAGTGATTTAAAAACCAAAAAAAACTCTTACAATACCAATATAAAAGGAGCATGAGGACCCAAGTTAACATTTGACACTCTCATTTAAAAGAGAAAGTCAAAGAATATACAGTAATTAAACAAAGTTCTCTATTTTCTCTTTAACATGACCTTTTTAAAGACTGATTTTTTCATTCAGTGTAAAATGCCACAATAATGTTATTGTCTCACCTGTTTTATGATGATATCTGACTCAGATTAAGTGGATTACCTTTATAAAATACTAAATATACACATGTAGAATAATTTACGAAGGTGGGTAAGGTATGGTGGTGTAGGACAAGGGCTGGGGAAGGATGATAACAAATCTTGTAACATACTTATTACCAGCCTTTTTGACATCTTAATTCTCTAAGTGATTCACAGACAATAAGCTTGAAAACATCGAAAATAAGATGATGGGGACATAGCTAAAAGCCTTCCCAGTGGTAAATGTTCTCTACCTAGAAAATTATTTTACTTCCCCCCCCTTACTGTCCTAAGCTACAGTTCGTTTGCAGTACATAACAGAGTAAAAGCAACAAAAGATAACACCAGTTTCATGTAATTAGAAGAACCTTGCAAGGTAAGGAAAAATAATACAAGCTATTATTATTAGAGCTTAAATGTGGGCTTTTAACCAAGATTTAAATACCAAGAATAGGGGCACCTGGGTAGGTCCCTGGGTTAAAAATCCAACTCTTGGTTTCAGCTCAGGTCAGGTCATGATCTCACGGATTGTGGGACTGGAGCCCCACATGGAGCCCTCCCCGCAAACCTTGTGGCAGGCTCTGGGCTCAGCAGGGAGTCTGCTTGAGATTCTCTCCCTCTGCCTCTCCCTACACTGGAGCGCGCTCTCTCTCTCTCTAATAAATTTAAATAAGTAAGTAAGTAAATAAATGCCAAGAACACCCCTCTTGGTGGCCAGTTACTGTGGCAGGTATACGACAGGCCAGGTGAGCTACAGTTTCATCTATGACAGGACAGTTAAAAAGGGGTTCTTAGTTAAGGTTTACTCTACCTCTATTAAAGCTACAGTATAAGGTAGTATGGAGACAGGCTCTGCATTGTAAATTTCAAAAACTCCCACCAAGTATTCTTTAATGTCATCATTTCAATTTACTTTAAGAAAATGAGTGGTGTGATCATGTTTATACTGTACCTTTCTCAGGCTTTCATATTCCTCACGAAGTTCTCCAGGCTTGCTTAATTTGATTGGTGCTCTGAATATAAACTCTGGAGGAAAGGGAAAAGAAAACACTTTTTAACAGGAGTTTCTAGGAAAGAACCCAAAACCCTATCCTACTGCTATCCCCACATTATAAACCACATAAAAAATTGTGGTCATCTTAATTTGAATATTCATTCACTCATTAACAAATATTTATTAAAGTTCTAAGCACTGGGGAGAAGCAATGAACAAATAAAGCCCTTGCTCTCATGGAGTTTACAGACTTACAGGCAATAAACAAACAAGTGTGTGCATATAATTCGACTGGTAGTACAAAGTGTTACAGAGGAAAATAAATGTAGGATGAAAAAAAGAAGATTATTTTATAAAGAGCGGTCTGAAAGAGCCTCACTGATAAAGTCCCATGTTAAAGGACCTTAAGAAAAAATCCTATTTAAAGCTTAGTTCAATGTTACCAAGTAACATTTTAAATGAGCTACAGTTTTATTCATAACACTGTATTTTCCTCTTTTTCAATATTGCCAGCAGAGTATTTTCTTGCATACAACCTGTAAATATTTTCGGTATATAACCTGATTTTTTATCCTTAAAGCCTTTGTGGTTTTCATTGGCCTATAGAATGAAGTCAAAACTCTTCAACCCATCATTCAAGGCTCTCCAAAGATGGATCACAACTTCATCACAATTTCTTCTTTCTCCAGCATTGGATCTCTTAACCCTATCAAGTTACAATAGATACATGCCATATATTTTTAAACCTTCTGTGTTGTTTTCTCAGCTGACATTGTTTTTTCCCCTTATCTCTACATATTTTTAAATCCGAGATATTCAGGACCACAGAAGGCACACAACCAACACACGTTGGTAATATAAATAGATGATAAAAACCCAGATGAACAATAGGAATAAAAGACAAGTTCTAAATGCGATCAAAAAGGAGGGAGAAAGTACACACTTCTGCCTCCTTAAACGTACATGACACGTCTATATACTTCTTTGTACATGTAGTGATCAAAATATAGTATTAATTTTAAGACTTACTAAGAACTCTATATCCCATTGAGGTTGACAAATATTTGTTGTAGAAAAGTAGGCTCCTTAAAAAGTTGACTTTTATCCTTTTTCAGTTGTCTCAACTATTCTGAAAGACTCTTATTTAGTACACCTGAGAAATGTGGAAGAGACTTAGAAACGGGCTCTAATGCAAAAGCAGGGAACAGTAACTTAAAGGCCTACAAGTACTAGAGAATTGTCAGACTCCTGGTGTGGGAGGCAAACATTCTAGCACCTTCACTCACTTATAAAAAAAAGTCCTGATGACTATTTTAATCATATCCCTTAAGCACATTTCCAATTATAGGCAAATAGTATTTAAAATCTGATACTTTAATAGAGAAGGAGAAGGAGAGAGGAAAAAGAACCCTTAAGGCAGAAAAGTACTTTCAATCCATTTATGGAGAACCTATCACGTGTAAAATACTTCATATATATTTTCTCAGCAAGTCTTCACAGAAATTTTATAAAGTAGGTATTATACCCATTTTACAATAAGGAAAATGAGAGGATAATGACTTGCCTAAGGCCACAAAACTAGTACATGGCAAAACCAAAAACATTAATAGGGATAAAGAGGGAAATTACATAATGATTAGAAAGGCAACCCAAAAAGGAGATATAATAATCATGAACTTGTATGAACATATACCACAGCAAAAACTAATTGAGATTATAACGAGGTATTAAGAAATCCAAAATAATGCAAGACATTTTAACACACCACAATTAAAAACAGATCAGGCAGACCAAAAGGTAGTAAATATGCAGAAAAACTGAACAAAATTAACAGATTTGATCCTAATATATTTATATATATGTATGCACCCAATAGAATATATATTCCTTAAAGTAAACAAGGAACAATTAAAAATACACCAGGTCACGAAGAACTTTCAAAGAATTCATTTTATACAGACTTTGCTCTCGGATCCTAGCTGCTATTTTCTAAGCCAAGTTTTCTGGCTACCCAGCTGATTATTCTGGATTACCCAATATTCTTTCTCAATAAATTCTTTTTCTGCTTAAATGTGCCAGAGTAGATTTCTGCTGATTAAAATGAACAGCCCTGGCTGATTCCATCTTTTAGAACAGAACTATAAAATGACCATAAACCAACCTCTAAGAAAAAAAAAAGAGAGAAGACTAATACTAAGAATAAAAAGGAGGACCAAAATACAGATAACAAGGGGAGTTTAAATCTCCAAAGACTATTCAAACAATGCTCTCATGGATGATCTTGCATGTATATCATTTTGCAAGTGATTTCCAGCAAATTGCTGGAATCAGAATTACTGTGTCAAAGAATATATGCATATGTGCTTTTGTAATTTTGGTAGACAATACCAACTCGCCCTTCCTTTTTGTAGCCTATACTGACTTAGGTCCCACCAGCAATGCAAGAGAGTGTCATCTCCTTGTATCTTTTCCAACACAATGAGCGTTGAAACTTTTTAGTTTTGCCAATCTAACAGGTGAAATTCTGTATCTTATATACATATTTTATGAGTGAGATTGAGTACTTTTCATGTTTAAGTAATTTGCGTTTACTTTGAAATGAAACGCCTATGCATTTCCTTTATTCCTTATATTAACATTTTCTTCTTGATTTGTTAAAGCTCTCTATAAGGAAAATTAGCCTTATGTCACATGACTAGCAATACTTTTCCTAGTTTATCATTTGCCTTGACTTTGCTCATAGTGGTTATTTTTAGGTAGTTATACTACTCAAACTCCTTTTTCATGGCTTCCGTATTTTGTATATTTGGAAAGACCTTCCTCAGGCCAAGATATAATAGCAAATATCATAGTTTCTTCTGATACAAAGTATAAGACTCTTCTCCTACCTACTTAAAAAAAATCTAAATATTTTTATTTGGGGAGCAACATAAGGAGCATAATCTTATTCAGGCTTATAAATTTACAAGGGACCAAAAATCTTTTAGTGATGGCCTGGTGGAAATTATGAAAAAAAATTTTTTTAAGATTTATGAATTTGAGAGAGAGAAAGAGAGGGGGAGGGAGGGGCAGGACAGAGGGAGAGAATCTTCAAGCAAACTCCCCACTGAGTGTGGAGCCCGACAAGGGCCTTGATTGTACAACCCGTGGGATCATGACCTGAGCCAAAACCAAGAGTCAGACGCTTAACCAATTGAGCTACCCAGGTGCCCCTATGAAAATTTTAATTACTGTTGGATAATTTGCTTTCTCTAAAATGGTTCCTGCTAACATTTAGAACAAAAATGTCCAAAGAGCTTACCATCTTCATTATATCATGTAAATAATACAAAGTTAAAAGCCTGATCCCCAACTTAGAAGTTTCCAGAGCCTTGGATAAGTCAGTCTTAACTTCCTCTTCTGTAAAATCAGACTAATACCTATCATGACAGGCCATTATGAGCATCAAATGAGTGTATTGACAGTGAATATACTATATACTATTTCAGCCAGTAGAGTGGCATACAATAGAATCTAATAATTATAAAATTGCCTCTGGTGTTGGAGAGATAAAGAAATTGTGGTTTGGTCTGATTTACTTGCAAGTACAACTTACAAGAAACAAAGATAAATGATCCAACTGCTTTGATAGGTATATTAGATGAAAAGTTAAATTCACTTTGGGATACCTATTAAGAAATCTCAAAGTTCATATATATGGCCAAATGGAACTCAGCATAGTGACTGAAATCTTACTATGCCTTGACTTATTTGAGAGTAAATGTAACGTAATTTGAGAGTAAAGGTACCAATTTACATTCAGCGAAATCAGTACTGATAGAGATTAGCTTAATCTTGGATTAAGATTAATAATGTTTAAGTCATTAAGAATACAAAATGCTAAATAGTCAAGATCACTTTTTGCCCCAACAGAACTGTGCTACATTAAATGACATTGTGCCCCAAAGTTCAAAAATTATATAGCTAAATATAAAACATGAATTGGTCCAACATGACATTAACTTAAATATTTAATCCTATCTCCTATTTTACTAATGCCCTCCAGAAATGTCAACAAGGCAAAACAAAAAACAAAAAAACAAAAAACATCTTTTTCCTATGGACTTTCAAAAAGAACATATTAGATTCTGATACCTGCTCTGTCAATTAAGTGCCAAGGCTTCTCTTTGCCTTGGCCTCCTCATTGATCAAATGAAGATCAAAATACTGGCCAACCTACCTCCTAGGAATGCAGAAGATCACAATAAGGAGTAGTAATCAATGAAGAATCCCTATAATAAATAAAAACAGCTAACATTTAATAAAAGCACACTACATGCTAAGTGTTATATATACATACATACACACACACATACACGGAGAATGCAGAAAAGAGTTAACATAGCAGGCCTGACTATCTTAAAAGGCCCACTAGCAAGGTTGGCCCTTGGCTGGCTGGTGCCTAGGAACTTGGATTTCAGGAGAGTTCCCACCCTCCCTAACTGATTAGGTACAGATTACTGCACCTAAACTGTTGGTAAAAACAATCCAGTTATGCTGACTACCTTCTTTCCTGCTGGGAGTCTGGAACTGTGGCACATGCTAGGCAGAGGGATCATCAACCCCTAATAAAAGCCCCTTCTAATGAGCTTCCCTAGAGGCAACATTTCACATGTGTTGTCACAACTTATTGCTAGGGGAATAAAGCACTTTTGGTGTGACTCAACTGAAAGAGGACTCTGAAAGCTTACACCTGGTTTCCCCCTGAACTTTGTCCCATGTGCCTTTTCCCTTTGCTGATTTTGATTTGTATCCTTTCACTATAATAAATCATAGCCATGAGTACAACTATATGCTGTGTCCTATTAGTACTCCTAGTAAATCAGCCTAACTGGGTGGTCTTGAAGCTTTCCTAACACACACACACCATGCACTAAAATTAAAATATCTTTAGATCTCAGTTTCTACCTGAGACACGAAGGCAACTCGCTAGATAACTTCTAAAGTTAATGATTCAGTAACAATATTTTTATTTCATTTTCATTTACCCCTC